CTGCGACTTGCCGACTGCAAAGGAAAGAATGTAGTTAAGCCATGATATCTTCAAGTGCAAAAAATAAAAGGATAAGGTTATTGATAAGACTATAAATTCAATTTTCATTTAAAAACTTTCACAACAATATAGTTAACCAATTAATAAATGACAAAATGACAAGCATACTTTTCATCCAAATGAAAAAAATTCCCCTAAAACTGTCTCATACAGTAAAAGTTGAACCAAAACAACATGAAAACAGAAGGTGCAAAAAGCACAGTACATACACGGAAAATTGAGGCCATCTCTGCTGTAATGCGTTCCACATTAGATTCAGACAGCTTTAGGAGAAGAGCTGGGAAAAAGTGTGAGTATCAAAAGGCATGTCAAATTCAAACCATTTAGTACAAATCTCAAATTTAACAAAAGGCTACTTAACATACCTTTTACCCGCTTACGAATTGTATGCTCTTGTGACTCATTTCCTGCAACAGTTCTCAAGTGTGGAGCAACATACTTGGATTCATTTACTGTCATCTCCATATCACGGCTTTCAACAGGGTGGGGTACAGCAAGGGCTGTCTCATTTTCGATGCCACATTCTTGTCCTTCTTCTGGAGACTTCCTCTTCCTACGCCTCTTCCGGGAAAGTGCCTTGACAGAAACCTCTTGTGATGCCACAGCTGCACCACAAGATTCTTCCAGCACAGAATCTGCAGCCCTTGAATCACCTAAATTCTCATCTTCAACCACTTCCTCCACTGACTTTTTCTTTTTACGCTTCTGAATAGAAGAGATATCCACCGATCCCTCATTAGAAAATTCTCCACCATCTCGGACATCTTCCTTTGAAGAATCTAGAACAGATGGGATTCCTTCAAGTAATGCATTGAGACTATCATCACCCCGTATTCTACCATCCTTCACCTTCAGTTTCTTAGCTAGTTTCCTCTCCAGTTCCAAATCCTCCTGAGTAGATATTGAAGCACTAGGCACCACCATTTCCAAATACTCTTCAAACTTGGTTTTTGAAGTCCCTTTCTGCCTCTTCTTTCCTTTAACCATTTTTTTAACCACAGATTTCTTTGGTATTGCAGAATGTTCACCCATGATTCTGTATTAAGTTTAATCAGTGAAGTCAGTAGTGGATAGCGGTCAATAGTGGAACGGCCAAAATCTGCTATGATAGTGTAGCGGATAGTGAAGTGGCCACTATTGACAAATAGTGGTCATCGAAAAATATATAAATATATTTAATAAATAGAACAACAAACCTTTTTTATATTTTTATGAAAAAATAAAAAAACCTATTGGAAAAAATGCATAACAGGACCTAAATAACACATGAAAATTAACAAAAACGAAAAAATTAATATTCTCAAGCAAATAAATGCCTTACACGCACTGTGAGCATGAGAAAGAGAGAAATCAGATTAGGGAAAACAGAGCACTAAGCAATATAGTGCTTTTTTAATGAAAAAGATTGTTTAGTTAAACCATAGCTACTGGAAGAACGAGTACCCTGATGCAGACAATTCAAAAACATAAGTGTATCATGCTCCAGATAAAAGTGCTTGAATATTTTTGGCTCATGTTAGGAAAATGCAAACTTTAATGTTGGGAGGTACTAATGGAAAAGAAAAGAAAAGGGCAGTAATAAAATGGAAGAAAGAAACCATTGCTGTGAAAAACTTAACACTAGGAGTTGAGTAATATGTAAATTAAGTCTGTATCTAAGCACATAATCTGCAAAAGCTGAAGAAAACCTTTCAATTATCTCAGCCACTTTAGCAAGACTAGAACTTCTTGGTGGCAGGAATTATGCATCATCATTCAGGGCTTTGCTATCAGCTTTGCAGCATCAAGGGGTGGGCTGCTGCCTGGTGGTAACGGAGTTAATTAGGGATTTAGGAGTGCCGGCGACTTGTTCGGTTGGAGATTTAGAGCCGCCGGTGAGAGGCCATGGAGAATTTCAGATTTGACTGTGAGAAACAAAAGAGAGGAAAACAATCACCGCCAGTGTTTCAGATTTTAGGGTTAAATAGTGGATTTTATTTTATTAACAAAATAAATTTAAAAAGACAAACCTATCCCTAAAACATGATTCTAATTAGTTGGCTAAATAATTTAATTTAATTTAATTTAATTCATACACTAGGCCGACGATCCTACTCTCTCCTCCATTTTTTCAAATTAAACAAAATATCAGGATTAATTTTAAGTTTTTTTTTTAAGAAATTATAAAGACAAATCTACACTTAGAACGTATAATTGCATAGAAAGGGTTTTGATATAAATTGAAGGAAAGAAAACCTGCAACCAAGGAGGGCAATATTTCTAAAGTTTTTGTTATCTTCTCCCTTCCTTAACTTTCTAAGCAGCTGCCAGAACAAATTGCAAATTCAGAAACTGAATAATACAAAAAATTAAAAAATCAGAGTTGCTCAGGCAGAGCTAGTCATTTTAAAAACATGGTCTTCACAAACTATACGCAGCTTAAAATTTTGTATACAACAAAGTGTTCAGAATTGAATGACTTGCCAAGAAACAAAATGAGAGTAGGCAAGTTTGCACAAAGCGTTAGGGGATGGTGGACGGTTACTCATAGTCTAGAGCTTAGAGTGCATAGGCAGTGCTTATGTGTTTTTTTTAATAATAATTTTTTGATATAATTTTAAGAGAATAAGAAAAAGATATAAAACAATTTTAAAAATTATAAATTAAATAAAAAAATTAAATAATTTTTTATTCATTATTATATCTAAAGAGTAAAATTTAAGAGAATTACTTTGTATTTATTTTTTTAATATAATTTTTATAATAAATTAAACAATATCATTTTATTAGACTAAAAATTTAATAAAAAAATATTTATCACGTACTTTAAATATTATTAAATATATTTAATAGTATTCAAACGTACTTAATTGATCTCTGAGTGATGGAAGACGAATTGAATTTTTGTGAACGAAATGACACTGGAGCCGAGACGCGCTTTTCAGAACACTGGGAGTAGGGGCTTGTACTACCAATTGTCATAATAGGAATTAGTAAGAAAATAAGTTTCTTAATGGTATAGGACATGAAATGAAATTCTATGTACTTTCAAGATATTCCTCTTAAGACTTTTGACAACCAATAAACTAAAAGAAATGGAATTTATGAATTGTTTACCCTTAACCAGACTTCATCATAAAGCTACTTTTCGATTACAAGCTTTCTTAGTGGAATTTCCTTAAACATGCAGAACCCAAAATCAACAAGCCTCCTCTCCGAGAAAGCAGCATTGTATTCCCACCTAAGCACTTTCTTTTGACTAATTTACATGTCCGAATATTCTTAATTTCTTCTAAAGTGAATATTGCTTGTTTAATCTACTTTAAAGTTGTCAAATGACTAAGTATTCTAGTGATCATCTCTTTCAGTGCTACAATAGTTTCTAATTTTAAATTTAAGTGGCATGATATGTACGAGAAATGAGATAAGGGATAGATGATTGTTTTTTATTGTGTAGGTAAAATAAAAAAAAAAAAAAAACCTACTTTAAGGTTGCCAGCACAGAGTCATAATACAACCACTTATTAATTAGTGATAAAATTGTATCCCCCTAAAGAAAGCTATAGATTTCCCAGTAAGAAAAATATAAAGGAATGAAATTCTCACTTACACTCCGGATTACATCGGATTGTAAAGCAGGCTCTCTCATATTAGTACAATTTCAACTATACAATATAAAATAATTCGGACTATATAATATTTTTTTTATATAAAAAAGATCATGCATTTATTAATATGCATTAATACGTAGATTTTACATTAAAAGTATTATGTATTATATAAATTTATTAAAATATTTTTAATAAAATAATAAAAATTTATTAATAATATTTTAGTAAATTCAGGAGACATATTACAGTTGCTCTGTAGAACACTTCTTAAAAAAAAAAAATTTAAGCCCTTCGGCAGCTTTTCAACCCACCAAATCAGCAACTAAATGAATTAAAATTCAGACTTAGAGAAGTTGTTACACACCAGAATTTTCAGCAAAAAGATTAGATCTGGTGGCTATAGAAATTGGCAGTATCGAAAAAAGAAACTATGGAAAACTACCCCAAAATTGAATGAAACAAAGGATTAGAGTTAATCCCATTAAAATAAAAGATGACAAGATGAAAGCAAGGCTGATTTCCTTACCAGAAAACTCGAAAAGGGTCCGACCCACTCAGCAGAAAATCACTGACAATGGAGGAGAGATGGATGGCAGAAATTCTAAAATTTCATTTCAAATCTTGGACTGTTTGAGATATTTCTTGGTCCTGAATTCGTTCTTTAGAGAGAAAAGAAAAGGGAAAATCAAGTCTTTACCTTGATTTGGGGCAGACAATTTGCTTTGAGGAGACCGGAAGTCGGCGGCTTCACAAATTTAAGAATGATCTGTGGATGAGCAAAGAAAAACACCAGCGGGCTTAAGTTCCCCCTTTTTTTTTTTTTGTTGGGAGCAGAGGGTTTAAGTCTATCAAGTATAAAACAAAATTTTAAAAAAAAAATGAAAGAAACTTACCAAACTTGAAAATTGAAATGCAATGTGATAATATTTGATTCATAAAA